CCATGTTTCAACTCTGACACCTGCTGCTGATGTCTGCCATGTTCCACGCATGCCCCATGGTGGTCAGTGCACATCATAATGACCAGTTGTTCGGTTGTTCTGCTGTTCAGTCTATTTGCATAGTAGGGTTTTATATGTGTGTATGTGTGTGTGTGTGTGTATCATATTATATTTCTACTAGAGGCCTGGAGATGGGATTCGTGCACTGGTGGGGGGTGTGGCCTACAGGGACTGGCCCGCTGTGGGAGCGCTCATCCTGGTCAGCCGAGTGGCTGTGGACCCGCCATCTGAGCAGCTGCTCCCTGGTCCAGAATCTTCCACAGAGCCAGAGCACTCGCCTCTCCAGGGGACCCAATCGAGGCCGGGCCCCAGGAAAATAGCACTGAGAGGCAGCGGAGTAGCTCTCAGTCCCGGGGCAGCCACAAAACCACCTCCCAGCTTCCAGGGTCAGCTCTGTGAGCCTGGCGGCAGCACTGCACAGCCTGTGGGTGTCTGGGGGAGGCATCAGGGAGCAAGGAGGAGGAGCCTGGGGCAAGAAGACGATGATCACAGCCCAGGTTCCTGTCGGCCTGGGGTTCGCAGCAGGAGCAACCGCTCATCCCGGTCAGCTGTGGTAGTGCACTGACCACCAGGGGGCAGCTCCTGCGTTGATCGTCTGCCCCTTGGTGGTCAGTGTGCATCATAGCGACTGGTTGACCGGTCGTTCTGATGGTTCTACCATTTGGTCCCTGGGCTTTTATTATATAGGATTGGACAGAACTGCCATCGAACCTTATGGTCCAATGATATAAAAAAATGATCCTAAATGTATATATTTCTACTTCATAGTAGTTTTACAAGGAAGTCAATATGACTCTTAAGTATGAATGTAATAAAATTTTTAAAATCTTTGTTATTGGTCTATCAGAATTCATATTATCTGATAGGTTTTCATTCCCAAAATGTAATTTTGTTCCCAATTACCTGCTAGAATTAAGTAACTGGAGAAAAATATTATTTACACTGATTTCCTCAGTTAAAATTTCCATTCTCTCCATATTGTCCTGGTTTCATGCTTTCAAAGTCTGCAAACTCAATCTTACGTTTCTCCCCCAGATATTTTAAAAGCACTTTATACAGATGGACATTGGAAAGTGGTTGATAGCTGAAAGAAAAGCACACTACCTGGACAAGCACACTGCAGCAGAGCGATTGATTTGCCTCCAGGAGCAGCACACAGATCCAGAACCTTCTCTCCGTCCCTTAATTCAAGAGCCAGTACTGGAAGAAGAGAGGCAGCATTCAGGAGATAGTATTTTTTTAGGTTTCCAATTTGGTGTCTTTCTGAAGGTATCCGGTGGGGACGTCTGCTAAGATAACACTTCAATGATTTAGGATAATAGGGTAAAGATCCTTGAAGGAGTGTGTGATAGCCCTTGAAATGTAAATCCTTCTCCAGTTCAAAAGAGTAATTGAATCGGTTAAGAAGAACAGCATGTTGCCAGCATGATGGAGATGTTAGTATATCCCTAGAAATACAAAACAAAAGAATATTATTATAAACACTAATACAATTTTATATTACTAATCTAGGAACTGTGGTCCTAGTTTTACACTTTACTTACCTGAGATTTTCAGAGCCAAGATCAGTATTACTGACTTTCCTTTTGCCTCAGGCTCCAATATGACTCTACCGAGCACTTATAATCCTGTCTTTATTTAAATCTTTGACATTTTGTTCATCTTTGCTTTTTATATCAATTTTGGCCATTAAAATATTATTTATGTTGATTATAGATAAATAAATGTTAGGTGCCCTTAAAATTCTGCAATGTTGAGGAATGCCTCACTTGCCTCAGCGTAGCCCCTCCCTGCAGAGTATCTTGCCAAAAAAAAAACCAACACAAAACATGGCCTGCCTTTACATACCTCTAAATCCATCAAAATAGATTCTAGTCAATCATTCTTTGCACAAGGAAGTGTTTTTCTTAGAGACAAAATTTAAAACCTGAGACTATTAATATCAGAAGGAAAATTACTATCATTAAAGGATGTTTAAATTATGTGTTAAAATTTTCCTTATGAAGAGTATGGAAAGCTAACTACAGTGAACTGTGCAGTAACGGAGTTAATGAAGTGATCAGTGGATGGCTGAAAAAACTCTTATGGATGGTGTAGGCTCTTCCCCCTTCCCGCAGCAAATTTAACTTCCTAACGTTTTATTTAGTCCAACAGTTAGGTCTCTTGACAATCACAGGTTCACATCTACTGGCAGATGATACAGCAGGAAATATTTAATTGATCTATGAGATGACCTTTCTAGCTGAGTTATTTGGCAGCCTCATTAACCATCGTCAATTAAATAAATTCCAGCTGCTGCTCACCCTGGAGGTGTCCATGTGAGGAACGGCTGAATTGAAATGTAACACCTGTGACTTGAAGTGTGCCGCATGAACTTCCATCAGGAGCTTATTTGTAAGTCTGCTTTCTCCTTTTTATTATGATGGTGCATCATATGAGCCCCGTGCATCTGTTTCAGCATTCTAGAGGATGACAAACCCTTTCTTTAATAATGTGCTTCACAAACTTTAGCGTGCATCCAGTGTCCGTAAAAGACTGCTGGACGCTAATGCCAGAGTTTCTGATCCAGTAGGTCGTAGGTGGGGCCTGAGAATTTGTATTTCTAGTTAGGTCTCATATGATACTGATACTGCAATCACAAGACCACTCTGGGGACCAGTGCATTAAAATGAGCCTCAAAGGGAAATCCGTGAATGCCACTAATGTAAATCTTATGTCAGTCCATCCTGATCTTAACTCTGCAAACGGTAAAAATCTACCCAAGGTTCTGAGTCATGTAGTAACAGGGAAATAATGATTAGAAACATAATTAATACAGATTGGAGTGGCTTGGCTTACATCACGTGTCCACCCCTTAACTGACAAGGGTAGGAAACTTCCAATTGGTTAATATCTGACTGAAAGCCCAGGTTCTATTCCGGTCAAGGGCATGTGCCTGGGTTGCGGGCACATCCCCAGTAGGAGATGTGCAGGAGGCAGCTGATCGATGTCTCTCTCATCGATGTTTCTAGCTCTCTATCTCTCTCCCTTCTCTCTGTAAAAAATCAATAAAATATATTAAAAAAAAAAATAAAAAAATAAAATGAGCCTCAAAGGGAAATCCGTGAATGCCACTAACGTAAATCTTATGTCAGTCCATCCTGATCTTAACTCTGCAAATGGTAAAAATCTACCCAAGGTTCTGAGTCATGTAGTAACAGGGAAATAATGATTAGAAACATAATTAATACAGATTGGAGTGGCTTGGCTTACATCACGTGTCCACCCCTTAACTGACAAGGGTAGAAAACTTCCAATTGGTTAATATCTGATGGGGCAAATCTCCGTTCTTTTTTTTTTTCTTCATAATTTCCAAATCTACTTTATGTTTATTCTTTCAGATGAACTTTAGAATCAGGTAGTCAGTTTAAAATAATTATAAAACATCTGTGCAGCTAGATAGTAACTTTGATTAGAATTATATTAAATACACTAAATTTGGGGAGAATTAACACCTTTATTGTATTCAGTACTTCCAAACCTAACCACAGTATTTATTCACCTTTCTTTCAGATCCCTTAGTAAAGGTTATTAATCTCGCACAGGTCCTTTTAGCCTTATTGTATAAAAGAACTGTTAGCTTAGGAACACAACCGATTTTTGTACATCATCCACTATCATGAAGGATGAGGAGGAATTCGCCATAGGACACAGTGAGAAAGGAAATTCCAGGGTGAAGGCAGTGGCACATGTCCAGGCACAAGGTCACAAAGGACAGTGCATTTTGGGAATTAAAAGCAGTCCATTGTGACTTGTGAGAGACAATTATATGGGTGAAATATAATATGATAAACTTTTAAAACTGTATCTTATAAGTGATGGGAAGTCACTGGAAGAGTTTAGGGGGGAAGCTCGTTAGACTCAAAAACAAGTGCTTATGGGAGAGGAAGGCAAGGTACTTCTGAAAGTATCTCTCTTTAACAACACCATCAAAATAAAGCCCTACTTAGAACAAATACATTTTCTGATACCTCCTAACTCACACCCAGCCCTACTGAAGTTCTAGAATTTCCTGTACGAAGTTTTCTTCAGTCTTTACCAGGTTCAATATAAAGTGTTCCCTCTGCCTAGAATGAACTCTCCTCTTTCACCCACTTGTAGCCTGGCTGGCTCTCCTACACTCTACTGGAGGGCAATTCAGGCTTTATTTCCCCAGGGAAGGCTTTCTACCTACACAATCCACCTCACCCAGATTATATTAATAACTAGAGGCCCAGTGCACAAAAATTTGTGCACTCGGGGAGGTCCCTCAACCTGGTCTGTGCCCTCTCACAGTCTGGGACCTCAAGAGGATGTCCACCTGCTGGCTTAGGCCCGATCCAAGGGGGATTGGGCCCAAGCTGGCAGTCAGACATTCGTCTGGCAGCCAAGGGGATGTACCTGCTGGCTTAGGCCCGATCCAAGCTGGCTGTCAGACATCACTCTGGCAGCCCAGGAGCCCTCGGGAGATGTCCACTTGCCAACAGGGAGCAGGCTTACGCTGCAGTCAGACATCCTTAACACTGCTGAGGTCGCAGGAGAGGCTCCCACCACCACCGCTGTGCTGGACAGCCATGTGCTAGCTTCTGGCTGAGCAGCACTCCCCCTGTAGAAGTGCACTGACCACCAGGGGGCAGCTCCTGCATTGAGCGCCTGCCCCTAGTGGTCAGTGCGCATCATAGTGCGT